AAACCATGAGGCTGAGCAGTCACCAATTTTTCTGGTTTTGCTCCAGCAGTGATATATTTAAGATCTCTTGTACATTAGTTAAATGTAACTTTTTATACATGAATCTTTGCGGTTTTTCTTTCAGAAGAATAAAAAAAAGATAAAGGAGTACAGCTTTCCAAAAATTCTTGCAGCTCTTCCTTTCACTGGGATATGAAGACTTTCACAACAACAGAATTCACAGTAATTAGTCTCATAGGAAATCAAAACTTGTAACTAAAATTTTCTTGAAGTCAAACTAATATAATCTTCTATACATAAAAGCACAGCAAATATAAGATTCGGTACCATGGTTTTTTTCTGGAGCTGGAAACAAGTCTTAGATTGCCTCTTGGGAAGCAGCATCTTGCCCATTCAGTTACTTAAATTTGTCTTTTTAGATCTGTGAGATCAAATGGGAGTTCGAGCTAAATTTGCTAGCAGTGACAGCTCGATAGTTTTCCTGTCTTCATTGCTCTGTCATTTAACCTTGGATGAATTTTTGAGAAAGATGAAGTGGAGGGGAGGAGGAAGATCAAGAAGAGAGGTTTTCAGGGGAAAATAAGAGTTATTTCTACATAGTCACTTTGTTGTAACTGTTTAAAGATGCCCAGGGTTTTGGAGTGTTGTGTGAAGGTCTAGGGTAAGATGCATGAGGAGATATAGCTGAGTCCAGCAGAGCTCAGCACTGTATCTGTAGGACCTCTGGAGGGTCCCTGCTGCCACCCAGGCATTGGATTCACAGTGATGATACCCACATAATATGTTGCATCGGTTTGTGCTCAGGTTTCCTTTCTCCTAGTGCTGTTCTCCTCATCCATATTGATGGAGACCCGTCTTAATTTACCATATTGATGGAGACCCCTCTTGATTTACCATATTGAGTAAATCCAAACAGCCTCTGATTTCAAAACTGCAAATAAATAATAAAAGATATTGGTTTATTTTTTTTTAGCTATTGAGGAGAATATTTACTGAAATTTTAGGGGTACAAGCAGCCCTTGCTTCTTACTCTGATTTCATTGATAGTATGATGTTTATGTGGAGAAAAGCTATTTTAGGTCATGTTTACGAGTTTGTCAAGATCCTAATCTGCTGGGAGCTGGTGAAACCCCACCAAAGTAAACTGGGCCATGGCACTGCGCTCTGACTGATGGTGCTTGACTCTCCCTCTGCTCCACCCTCATTTGGCATGGAGAACAGATAAGTGATCCAGGATTCAAAAATAAACATGTACCTCTTAAAATCTTTTCTTATTTCTAGCTTTTCCTCAGAATAAATGGCTTATTTACTAAATGTACCCTGAAGAGGCAGCTGTAAAAGCCGTTTCATCAAACCATGATTCTATTCTGCAGTTTTTTCATTAAATAATTTCTCCCCCCCCTCCCCTCCAAAGAATGCCCCATAGATATTTAGATTTATGCATTGGATAAAAAGAGAGAGCTTGAATGAAAAATGGGAAATAATGATGATTAATATAGTAAATGAGTGCCTATAAATACTTTGAGAATGCTAAGGAAAGTAAAAAAGAGATTTTTGCAGTTCTTTAATATGTTGCAAAATGTGAATCCAGTTCAGTGACATTGAACTTTTGATTAAAATTAGATATTTGTGGATGGCAATAGAGAGGGTCTGAGGAAATCACATTGCATTTATGTTTTATTGGTTTTTTTGGTTTTTTTTTTAGTAATTCTTTGACTTGGAGATATTTATTATTATTATTAGACCTAGGTTTATTGGTTTATTTCTGAATTTTATCTCTGAGCGAAGTTTTTTTTTTCCTCCTTCCCAGTGCATGTAGAAGCATAAGTTTTTTAACAAATTTCTTATTTTAGATACAGTAACAGTATACCTTGGATTTATTGCAACACAACTGAGGCTGAAAATTGTCCTTTTATAATGTATACATATGCTAATTAGCACTGTGTTCCTCTACTGTAGCATAAAGTTATAATTGTTTTCAAAACCACAGTTAGAGTTCTTTTTAGGTAAATCTACATAAAAAGGTTAATATATTTTTAATTTCATTTCATGAATGTATTTATTTTGATTCCCCATAGACTTACCTGCGTCCTTACTGAACTTAAGAAGCAGTCATTTCACACATACTTAAAGGATTATTAATAAGCTGAGGTTTGTCTTCTCTTATTTAAACAGAAGGAGGAAATTAAATTAATATCTAAGGAATCTGTTATTTTGTAAATGTGACTGACTCCCAGAGTGTCTGCTATAAAACCTCATTGTTCTTACAAGCTCTGAAATACAGCTTTTAAGTTATCTTGTGCTATAACATTCTGTATTATTTTTCTCTGTTGATTCTCTTGGTGCTTTTCTTCCTAGTCTACAAATTTGATCAGAATCTTTTAATTAGAAATCACAATGTTATAAATAGTAGTAAATATAAAATTCCTTACATCAAAGGGCAAGCATATAAATGGAATTTTCTTATAATTTTTAAAACATTCATCTATTTTGATAGAAATTATTGTTATCTCTCTGAGCAACACTTACTGAAAAGCATTTAAGTGCTTTATGCAGGATACTACAGAAGTAAGAAATGTATTATGAGGAACTGCACATTATATCACAATATATTTTTAATTCTCTTTTTTTCTTATTTTAACGGGGAAAAATATTAGTCATTATGTTACTATGCTACTTTCAACACTCAACTAATTATTAATAATGTGAAGAAAATTTCTAAAATACTTCCTTTCAAAATTCATGTTATTCTTGTCTTATTAAGAAAGTGCGTAGCTTGTAAGTGTTTCACTGGTGGTTAAAATATTTGAAATGAGAACCTTCCAAACATATTTAAGGTTATCTACAGTACAATGCAATGTAGCTCACCATTGATCTGCAATGGTAGACATTGGTTGTAGTTAATGTACGTGCATTCCCTTTGGAGATGCCCATTCTTCTAGGCCAGTTTCTGGAGAAGGTTGATCCCCAGCAGAGGCACTGAAGGGACTGTTTCAGACATTATAATTAAAGAGTTGTCCTTGCTACTGATTGCCCATCTCCTCTGTTACTGCTTTGATCCCTAAAGTGTAGGGCAGGTGATTTAAAATAATTGGAATTGCATCCACTAAAGTGTAGGGCAGGAAGGTTTGTGTAGCACTTTGTTTTTCTAGTATTCAAACTTTTAATATTTGTTTTAGATAAAATAGCTTTATGCTTAGTGATTTGAAAGAATCCTTTCCACTCCATTTTTTATTCCTTTCAGACATTCACTGAGAAGCCTAAACTTTGCAATCTTCGACAAAAGCTAGCTGTCCCATCGTTGCATTGAATGTGTGGGCTCTTAGTGTTTTCTGTGGGGACACCTGCAGGGTAGTACACTTCATATGCCATCTGAAAGCACTGCAACTAATTTCAGAGTTGCTATCGATATTTTCCTTCTTCAGCTGCATGACATTAAAATTTAAGAACTTTTTTGATTGTTTCAAGTGCATGGGCACTGCACTCTTCCATTAAGTTGTTGAATTCTTCTTTCCTGGCTCTTGCTCATGTTCTGCATTGAGTGCATCTCTCCTGGCCTCCAAGAACTCCCCTTTTATGACTCAGTTGTCAGCCACTGATGTGTCACGTCTATGGCTGTTGAAAAAGCCTCGAATTTTCTGAGGAAGTTCCTTGGTTTGAGAACTGAATGACATAATTGATTGTCTTGCTTCAGTGGTTGAGAGGAGCCCTTGCCGGTGTCTTTCTCTTGAACTTCTGCTTGAATGAGATGGTATAGATGGCATAAAAGTACTTATTTCTTTTCTTTGGGTTCTTTTATTGGTCTGTGTGCATGAATCTAAGCTTCCCTTTGAGCTGGCCATGTTACCTATTCACTGAGCATGCAGATGTGCTTAAAAGTATTGTAGAGCCAAGACTTTTAAAAATCCGTTTATTTTGTGGTTTTTAACCAGATATTCAGAAGAATTGTTATCCTAAAGAATGTAGTGGCTAGTGCTCTTAAGGTGCAGTTTTTTGTTACACAGAATGAGATCTGTCATAGAAAAGGGGAATCTGTCTTCCTCTTTGTTCTCTCTTTCATGTCCTCTCCAGATTCTTTCTATCACATCTACTCATGGTGTGACTATACAGTTTAGTTGGATCAGCTTATTTGTCTGACAGAAAACAGATCCACTCCAAATAATGATTAATTTTCTGATGCTGATCTGACTTTTCTGGGCAGTCACATGAGCTGGCAAGGGGTTGCAGGTGGGAGCATGCAGTTTTGGATGGGTCAGAACTGTCTGTTTTCAGCAGCAGCTCACAGTATGCAGTGTTGTGGTGTACTACAGTTGCGTATCAGGGCTGAAGGATTCTTTCAGTCTCGAAGGGCTGCATTTTCTGGAAAGGTCTGAGTTTGTCTGTCTATCCAAAATGTGCATCTTGGTATCTCAGCAGGTTTGAGATACACCTGAGATACGCTTGATTGCACTTGAGCTTAAACTTAATAGTGAACTTTTGGTGTTTGCACCACTTTTCTTGAAGGTGGTTACATCTGTGTAGTTGTTTTTTTTTTCTTAATTTATTAATAGGCATTCTCTCCCTTAAATCCACATTAACAGCCTCTGTCAGGGAATAACTTTGGTCCAGGGTCACCTCAGAAATACATTAGCTTTGTAATTGTTTATCTTAGAGGCATGTTCAAGGGAGGAGATTTCCCAGACCAAATCAATATGATGCAATATACCTAGCAGTTAAAAACTAGACTGAACAACAACAAAAACTTAGTCATTTTTGCCTTTGTAGTGAATGAGGTCAGTACATTTGAATGACAAATGCTACATTTAGTATATGTACATTTAGAAATTTAAGCTAGGCTTTTTATATTCTCCATTACTGACAAATTCTCTTTTGGTATATGTTCATATAGAAGACTTGGTTATACTGTGTATGCAGATCTAAATGGTGGCACATGTAGCTATGTTGTTAACAAACAGAAATAATAAAGTTCTGTAAAATGTTCTTTGCATTTAATCGTGTAAATGATGAAAAGAGAACAGCTGGGCTGCCATTGCTCCTTTGGTCAGACAGTGGTTGTTGCAGTGCAGGTAGGTAAATGAAAATTAGTTAAGGTTAGCAAACATGCTGCAGTGGAACAAGGCAATAACAAAACTAGTGTTGGTCCCCAGTGACTTACTTGGTTCTTGGCCTGTCACATCCTGCTTATGAGCAGCAGCCTAAAAATTCACATATAGCAAGAGAAGATGGAGTTTAAAAGTCATTCAAAGCAAACTCTGTTGCCAGAGAGTTGGAGAAGAAATGGCCGTGCTAATGGGATAATTTGTTGATGATTGTTTTGCTGTATATGTGGTTGTGCTGGCTGCTACTGTCCAGAAATATCTGAATGGTAGCCCTAGGTGTGGGTTTATGTGCTGTAGGTATCCATTGTGGCTTTACGGGTACCAGCTGGCCGTGTCATGGTCATTTGGGACTAGCTTGAATCCCTTTATTTTAAAAAGGGAACAAAATGAGTGATATGAAGAAATTACTGAATTACTGCCTTTTTGGTTTTTTTAGGCTTCTTCAGCTAGAAAGTAGACTTTTAATACTGATGGCAATTAACACTGAGATTATTTACCCAGATAAGGTAAACTATGTGTTATATTCAGTTAGTTGGTCAAAGATTACACATTTGTTCAAAAGAGATGCTCTTTAAATCATCCAGAACTTAAAAGAAACACGTAGCGAAGACTTGTGATCTGTGTTACAAAGCAGCTTAGATGTAATGGGGATAGCTAGAAGGCTATCTGACTCTGTGGATTGCAGCTACTGAGAGGGCTTCTGAGAAGCTTTCTAGTTATTGCATCCTTCTAAACTGTAATGTAAATATCTGGAATTTCTCATCATGCAATTTTGTGTACCCATTCACTGCAGTGGCACAGCTAGGCATTTTTATAGAGGGCACTCAGCCTGAGCATGCCCTAACAAGAGAAGCTGTCCTGACCTTTGGTTTTTTTTACGAATCAACTCTTTGTAAATATATAGTCATGGTTGTTGTCTTTTCTTATTTATTAATACTCATGCTTATATATGTAGACATAAAAAGAAGATTCTGCTGTAGGGCAGCTATAAATATAATAAACAAAAAAGTCATGATTCCCTCCACTTTCCGTTTCTTTGTTGCTGTTCTTTTCCAGGGAAACTGGTGTTCTCAACTCTTCTGGATTTAATGCCTATTGAAAGCCTGCCAGTAGTTTTAGAGAGAGTGAATTTGATGATTCACATTATCCCATCCTGCCCCGTGCTTCCCAGAGTTTTCAATAAATCATTTGCTACAGTTGTGCTATCCTGTATTGTATTTATTTAGAGAAGTGTAGTTTAGAGTTATAAGAGGTTCTTCAGTGTTTCCTCTTAGATTCTTCTGTCTACATGCTTCAAATCTTAATGTGCAGATTTCAATGGAAAGAACATAAGAACAGAGTTGAAACTGCTCCAAAATGTCTGAAAGTAGCTTTTCTTATTAATTAGTTAAATAACATGGCTGTTCTGTTTCTTGGGAGTTTTCAGGTCTAGAAACAACTGTTGTATTTCCATCGGATAGCAGAGTATTTTCTTCCACTACTACTAGAATAAATGCTCTATTTCTGGCAGATTGTGAATTGCAAAGTATTCCCATGTTTTTTCTCTATAGGACTGGATGAAAGCAATTAATTCATGGAAAATATATGGCAAAGAAGGAAAGGAAAAAAGAAAGAAAGAAACAAATGTTTCTCTAGCACTAATTTTTCTTTGGTTTTAGTGACTACTCAGGGGGTTCAAGTTTTTGGGGCTTTTTTGGAGGAGATGGGTTACAGGTTGGTGAGTCAGAGATTTACTGAAAATGCAGCTAATCAGATTTTAGCCCATTGCTGTCACCTCACTATAGGGGCTTAAATAACAGTCTATATGAATGAACAGTTTCTTTCAGGTAACATTGGTGAGATTTGTGAATGCCTCTGACGAAACCAGTAATGTCTCACTCGTTCTCCACCGGCCTGTGTCCAGAGTCAGGTTAAGGTTCGAGTAGTGTATCAGCCAGGGAAACTTTTCTGCTTGTGTTTGCTCAAGGTTTTGCCCAGAATGGAACTTCAGAGAGAAGAGCCATTTCCTACAGTATGGGTGGGTTAAGATATGGAGGGTAACTAAGGCAGAGCCTCCCAGTCACAGGTTATGTTTCTGGGAATTCTTGAATAAGACTTGCAGATTCAGAAAACAGATCTTTTATTCATTGTCATAGACTGCTTTTTCCATTCCAATGCCGTTTAATTTGGTTAATGGTGTATTGTTAAATAGTAAAAATACTTTCTGCATTCACAGAATTTTATGATAGGTTTTGTTGTGGCTGAATACTAATTCCAGTCTTTTCAATATTGCAGTCTACCCACATTGCTCGAGCCAGCTTCCAGGTTGATGCTTTCGGATCATCTTTCATCCTAGATGTGACGCTAAACCAGTAAGTAATGACTGTATCTTACTCTGCGTTTGTTCAAGACCTGGTGCCAGTGAAATGCCATTTCTTCAGTGGAGGCTTTATAGCCGTATTTTAGCACAAATGCTATTTCTAGGTATTGAATTCACCTGTAGTAGTACATTTTAAGTTATTTCATTGTTTTCTCAAGTACTATTGTAGGCTTTGATATTCTCGTTACTACGTAGCAGCTATTGCAGTGTAAGTAACGTTTTAGCATTATAATTTCATTTGCTGTCTTTCAGTTTACCATGAAGGTAAATTACTGTACTCATGCAAAGCCTCCATGGATATTAAAAGATGGAGTTGCTGAATACTGGTAGCTGTTATCATTTCAATAACTATGTGTAAAGTACTGGAGATACAGCAATTACAGCTAATCCTGAAAAAAAGAATCAGATGGAGAGTTAGGAATGAAGTTTCTCTGGATGTGTTTACAGTCTTTTGGGAACAGACAAGCATTATAAGGCAGTAGCACACCATGAAGTTCAGTCTATGAGGAAAGATTGAACGATAGTAAACTTAAAGTGGAACCTGATACATAACTTTCAGTAATGAGTTTTTGGAGTTTTAGCACAGCTCAGCTACTTTAAAATAGGAGTTGCTTTACTCTTGTGCTCTGAAGTGAAAAGAGAATAAATAAATAGAAATGCTTTAAGTAATTCTGTTCCTAATAATTGAACACAATCTTGTGTGGTTCGGTGTAAGAGACCAACTGCTTAATTGCTAAAAGTTTTTCTGCTATAACAATGAACTGTTCAGTTTGCAATGGGAGCCACTCAGATTTAATTTCATTTCCGCTTGTAAACACATTTTAAACAGTGGCAGTTTCTTTATGTGCACTGACATGCGATAAAAACCACATGTGAATCCTTGCTGATTACAGAAGGCACAGACACTGTGCTGCTGAAAGGAGATGGAAAGAGGCTGGTGTAGAAGTATGATTTTATAGCAAATGCATATTAAAAGAATTATAAAGGAAGAATTTTCACCTAAAAAGCACCTTGTCATGACCTTGAAATGTTGGAAATAGCAATTTTGTATACATATTTTTACCTTGCTGAGAGTAGGTTTCACAAACCTGTTTTTGCTTTGGGTGGCAGATTAATGATGTGGTCATGGTTAGTTTCTGAAAGGTCAGGATTTTCATTGCAGTATGAATTTCAGGTCATCTTAATAAAAGTAAATACATTTACTAACAGTATATCAGAAGACAAGTTAAGGTTGTGTTTTAATGAACTACAGCAGTCCTCGGTGGATTTTTTGTTTACACACATGTACGTATGCACATAAACACACAAACAAACATGTATGTTTAAAATTTTATTTGTTTTGAGCTACATCTTATTTATGTCATTCTTTTATTGTCTTTAATGATATTAGACCAGTATTTGTATGAGTAAGGCTGTCAAAATATGTCCTTATTGTTCTTAAGAGTGCCAGAATCTGACTTAAATATGAACTTTTCCTGAGGAGTTATGCTTTTTATAATGTGAAAAAAGTCCTATAATGAATTGTGGAAAATGAAAGCAAGAAGGCTGCAAGGAAAATAAGATGTTTGGCTTCTATTACGATACTTAAATCAATGTTTAAACTTCCCCTGAAATAGCATTTGCAGATCATCAAATAAAAAGGCCTGTCTATACCAGAGCAACATTTAAAATGTATCCTTAAATATTATTCCTATGAACAAATCTGTTTTATTGAGAAGGCTGTATATATTTTTATTCTCTTGTAATTCTTACTCTCCATATTGTATTCTGTATGTATTTGCTAAGGGTCCTGACAGGAAAAACACTTTATTTTTTGGGAGGAAGGGTTTGCAAATTTAGCCCGCAGTAGCTTTGTAATGAAAAAGCAGTTGAATACTTCAAAGGACCAAGTTTCAAGATATTAGTTTTCCTCTGGAAAAAATATCAGCTTAGTATTTATAACCGAACTTCTGCTAATATCAAAAGCATGCTGAAGCAGGCCTCTGTGGTAAAACTAGCTCTTATGCATAATACACATTTGAGGAATTTTAAAGGAGGTATGGGGGACACAGGGGGGAAGAATTAATTTAAAATACATAAGGTGTCAGAAAGGAAAGACTCTCCCTACCTTTGTCAGTCTCCTTTCTTGCAGCCTACATGTGGTCTTAAGGTTAGTGTATATGGCTCCTACGTTTAAATATTTCTGAGCATCAACTCTAGTTACAATGTCAGTGGTGGACAGTGACAGTGAAAGTGCTCATTCTGCCATATGGCTCCACAATTTATGGAGGAAAAAAGTTCAAAATTAAAATTATGGTAGTAAACAGAGAGATTTAAAAAAAAATTCAGAAACTAAAATATACCACAGTTCCCTAATGTCTGTCCGCAAATAGATTTTCTTCATTTGCTGCTTTCTTTGTGGACATTATTTTCTCTGTCCTCTTCAGTTCTTTTTATCTGACAGTCAGTTTCTCTTTCTTCTCAGCTGCATTTGACTCTGCTTTGTTATACATCCCCCTGTTATGTACCCCTTTGTGTTTCCTATTCTGTTGTGTTTGTATATTTTCCATGTCTTATGTTACTCAGTTCACTAGAGAGTCACACATTTCTTTCTTTTCTTTCCCATCAGGACCAATTGTCCCCTCTGCCATCATCGTAAATACTACAAAACTTTCTAGTTTTTATCTCAACCTTTTTCTTCACAACTTTTTGTACACTGACAGTTAAGGCTGGCAGAAATGCTTATGCTTTCCTACTTGTGTCTTTTCCCCCACTGCCTGGTACCCTCTGTTTTATCTCTTCACTTCACCAAAGGAGACGTGACTACCGAATCTGGGTGTTAGTTGAAGCAAATTTCCTTTCATGGTCCCTTCCTCTGCCACCTCTCAAAACAGTGGCCCATCACCAAAGGCCAGTCTCTGCAGTTAAACAAGCTGGGAAGAGGTGGGCAGGGAAGTAAAAAAGCAGAGCTTACGCTGACATTTCAAATGTCAGGAAAACTGAGGCCCAGGATGGGAGTGTTCTGCCTGTCCTGGATGCAAGTGAGAGGAAGGAAAAATAAATTTTCCAACTGGCACAACAGTGTGGCAATTGAATTCAACATTGAAATCTGTGTGCTTTCTTCTTGCTCATTTTGGATCTCAACTGGTTTTGAATGTGTTTTTGTTCAGGTTAAATGCAGATGTGAGATACACTGAAATATTACCTTGAATAAGAAGAAACAATAATAATAATCTGTTACAATAATATAGTTTCTTTTTTTTGCAGTGGTGGCGGTATTTTCTCCACATACGTCATAATTCTTTCTCACTTCCTTTTTTCCCCCTGAGTTGCCATAGTATCTCTATGATAAGCTTTTTTTTAAGATACAGTGTTACTATTTTAACTTTTTTTGCCTGTTGAACTGTCTGAAGTATTTATAAAGGAGCTTTCAGATCAAATCAGCTGTATTTTTAAAAGGTTCAATCCCTTAGGCAAAGGTTAGGAGTGCATTAGTTGCATCGTTGTGTTTATGAATCCATTGCCTCCGTATCCTTATGTGTTCAGAGCTGCAGCTAATGGAGCTGTTTTGGTAGCCATCTTCATTAATTCTGCCTTCAGGACCAGCAAACCTGGGGCCTGACCACTGGCCTGTGCAGGTGGGTGCTGCTCTCAGCCTTCCGTCCTTCAACACTCATCCAGTTCTGGCCATCAACCCAGAGCTGTGCAGGACTTGCATAGCAATTAATGGTGCTTATTTATTTATTTATTATTTATTTATTTATAATAAATAAAACTCCCCTTGGAGTTTTTAATGCTGTGATGGCATCAGTGGCTCAGCAAATGGCTATTTCTTTTTTTCATGCAGAGTATTTTTTCTTAAATGTAGCCACGTGACCATTTACAGTCTCATCTTGGGTTGTAATTACATGATGAAATAGCAGAGCTGACTGGGGAATGGGGCACGTTTCCAAAACCCTCTTTGAGGCCCTTTGAGACCTGGGCCGGGACATGTTCATCTGTCTGTGAAGTAGCAGAGACCTAATGGCAGAATGGGCCAAAGCAAACTGTGATCATGGGATTGGATTGGAAAAGAGCATGCTGCAAGTTTGTTAATCAGAAAAACGACAGTATCTGTGCTTGTCTGGAACGTGGACAGGCCCAGGCACAGGGTGACCACCCCAGATCTGCATTGTGGTAACCATGACAGGCAAGAAAGATGATCATGGTCCTTCATTGCTGCAGCATCATTCTTCATACGAGACCTCTGGTGTCTCCTGTCACAGAGATGAACAGAGTGTTTCTTGAGCCTGAGTCTGAATTCTGGTCACTTCTGAGGTACGGTGTGGTCATCAGGTGCCCTGCTAAGGAGACTCTTCGTCTTCAGAAAGCTCCCTGGAGCATCTGGCAACCTGTGCATGCCCTGGCTCCTCATGCTGTAATAAGAAGAACCCTCCCTAGTCGTGGCTTTTTTTGTGAAAGTGAACACATTGATAGCCTGAGATCTTCAGGTTCATGGTGATGGGGAAGTGCTCTGAAGAGTCCCAGGCAGAAATAAGTATTTGAAGCTTATATTCAGCTCTTCAGCACTGCTCTCTCCTTCATGGTGACACTCACTAGGATGGAGCATAATTGCCCCTGCTTTCTCTTCTTGCAACACAAATTAAATTCCTCTGTTCCATGTGTTAATGGAAAATAATCTATAAAGAAGTAGTAGGCTGGGCAAGATGTGCTCAGAATCTGCCCCTTTTGGAAGCTCATCTATCTTCTGTTCCCGTCAAGCGCCTGACCATGTCCGGGAGGAGTACCAACACTGTGTATAAATCAATGGTCATGATGATCAATGACGTTCAGAAGGCTGACAGATTTCAAATAAGTAATTTTTTTATAAATTCTCTGGTCACTCTGTTCTCTATGTGGAAAATAAATGCCCCTTTCTCTTAGTTTATCAAAAGGTAGGCAAAACCAAAGAAGGTTCTTCAGAAAGTATCGATAGGTATTTTATGTATTTCAGTCTTTAAACTATTTCTGGTT